CAGCGTCTGACGCAAGCCAGAGTAAAACCTCAGAACACCTGAGGCATGCACGGAGGGGACGCGCCTCTCTTTTTGCACCTGAGCAGCATCACAGGACGAGACAAGCAAACAAAAACAAATGATCCGCAGGCACATTTTATTCAGAAAGCTGCAATAAGCTGAATTCATTGTCCAGAATACTTCTAACGCAGTTTGGAAATAAGGTAATTAAAAGGTACAGGAAATGCCTGTGATGGAGGAAGTGTAGTTTTATATAATGCCTCATTGCTCAGTCTTCCAGCCCTGTGCCAGTCCAATAACTCATTAGCTGGCTCTATAGTAAGTAGTAAAAAATGTAAAAGCTCAGATTTACTGTACTGCTCTGCACACACATGAATAAATTAGCATTATTAAAAATACAGAAGAGTAGGTGTTCTTAATGGAGGGGTGATGACATGTGCAGCTGTGCATTGCTCTCCTATCAAACGAATACGTTCCTCCTCTATGAAATGCTCGCAGGCGTGACTGGGAGCCCCCGCGAATGCATCTGTGCCAATCTTCATCTCTCTAATGAGGAAAACGTCAACTCGCTCGCAGAGACCGATATCACAAACAAAGCGGCGCGCGCCTTTCTAAAGCCTCTCGTCGAGTCAACCTCAGAACAACACTGTCTCTTGAAAGAAATCTGGCGAAAGCATGTGACGGTGGGCTGCGCTAATCCTAACGGTAAATACAATAACTCTGCCAGCAGAAGCTGATTAACGCCAAACAGCCACTGTAATTATCACATTAGCATATTGTAATCTCGCAAATTACCATGAAAATCACCATGACAGCTTTCTTTTCTCTCTCTCCTCCAGCGGGGAGATCAGGGGACGATTTAATTGCTGAGAATTATTTTTTTAACGGAAAAAAAAGAAGAAGAACAAAACAAGAAAACATTGACACTAATCACGAGACTAATCCTCGGGACGGGCGGGGGATGTTATACGTATCATGCTAACAGAGGAAGCGCACAGTCACGCATGGGAGCTACTTTAGTCGAGAAACATTTTTGCAGCCCTGCATTCATTATTCATTAAAATGATAGAAGGAGCAAGTGGAGGCTTAATGTGAGCATCCTGGAAGCGCCAGTAACACAAACACCACACAGACAACACACACACGCTCTTATAGTCCAGCGTACCATAGCTGTGTGCATTGCAGTGATTCACACACACATCTTTCCGTCCCACAGCTAATGCAGTGAGCATGTTCACTGAGTGCACGCAGGAAGTGATGACATATTTAAAAGGAACCAGGTGGCCCCATAATAGCACACTCAGAGCCAACACACAGACACACACTCAGGCCCACTGGCGGACTGAAAGGACCACAGGAGGAGCTCGATATGGGACTGTGGAGGAGTGCTAAAACACTTCCTCCTCCTTTCATATTTTCACCCCATCCGGCTCCTTTATACTCCTTCATCTGCATCATGGCGCTTCCAAATAACGCCGTCCCTGGTGAGTTCAGGCCTGTGGTTCTACGTGAATCATGTTCGCCCCGTGTTCATTAACAGGTGTCGTTGGACGATTCCATTTGCGGCCACTCGTCTGTGTATGAGTGCACAAACGTGTGGGTGAGGTGGGAGACGCCCTGCTTGGATGATCTGCTGTATGATTTATTTTTACTTTTTTAAATTCACTGGACGGTATCGCCTCTCGTTATCTTCCAATTATACACTTCCTGTGTGAGTGGGTGAGACGGAAAAGTGAAAAACGCTTATGGATGTACATTTAACCTAAAGGCCTCCTCGGCTTATTTCTTCACTGAAAGGCTACAGTTGAACTCTGAGTCTCTCAAAGTTTTTGTGCAACGATGCAGCTAATGCGTTTGGAGTAGGCTTTGTGCCCTGCTATGAAAAATATAAATATAGTCCTTCTGCACAGCACATCTCAGCTTTCAGGTTCCTTTGAGGTTACAGATGAAAATCTGGGCCAATGTAGATAGAAATGTTTAAAATAATCATTTGGGTGATAGCTAATGTCAATATTTCTGGCATGTTTTATTTTATTTTACACTCTTTTTAGAGAAACACTTTTTTAAATTACCTTTTAAAAGGCATTCAATCAATGATTTCGTGAGCACAAACTCGATGACAAGAGATGAATATCAGCTACTGACACTAGACGCAAATATTCAGCTAATACATCAGTGCATCGTTGACCGCAGTCATGCTGAAAGCTTTAATCCCAAGTCTGTGATATGCTCAACTAACAACAGACAGCACTCCCTGCAAGTCTTACCTCGGTTCGCTTTCAAAAATCCCTGGTGACCCTTTAAGTATTTCCCTCTTTTCAAATTAGCTACAACTATGAGACAATGAGAGGTTTGTGCTCACATTGTTCCCTGATTGATGCTAACATGCTACTTCCACACCATTAGAAAGGCGTCACATACTCGAATTATTGGCCAAGCATTTTGGGGGGTAAGCAAAAAGTAAAAGCTGATTTTTTCTAATCTTTTTCACTTCTGTTATTTTGAGGAAAGACAAAAAACTGCATCTATGCTTTAATGAAAGTGAGTATTTCAGCTGCTCCTCTTTCTCTTTGATTCATCAAAAACTAATTTAAAGCTCATTTATTGATAATTTTAAGTAGTTGGGAAAAACACTTAAAAATATGGTTAATGTGTTAAACTTGCAGCGACTTTTGGAAAAGGGAATAATATTTGAATTAATAAAAATAAATAAAATCCAAACTATGAGCCAGGTTACCTTCAGGGTTTTTGCAAGTCTATTATGTTGATTAGTCCCAGCAATCCACCAGATATTTATTCCCTTGCATATAACAGCTAAATCATAATTGGTCATAAAACAACAGGAAACCTTGCACCACTTTTAAGGTTCACGTGAGCCTTCAAGAAATTTTGTTCTGCATCTAGAGATAATATTATGGTTTCGATGTTTTTATTGTATGAGTAGTCTATTAAATTAAGTAATCTACGAGTGTTTGTTGAGGAGTGCCGACCTTTTATGAAACCAGTTTGGTCAGGATGAATTAAGAGGGGGGTCATTTTCTCTAATCTCTTTGAGAGAGCTTTGCAGATTATTTTAAGGTCTACATTTAAAAGAGAAATTGGACGATAGCTTGAGGGAAATAAAGGGTCTTTTCCTGGTTTTAGCAGGAGACTAATGTTGGCAGAATTCATATTTGGTGGTAGTCTGCCATTTTCCTCGATTTCCTGCAACATGCTGTGGAATACTGGTGCCAAAATTGTCCAGAATTCGTTGTAGAATTCTGCAGGGAAGCCGTCTGGACCTGGAGCCTTATTATTCGGCATACTCATCAGAGCTTCCTGGAGTTTACCTGGCGTCAGTGGCGAATCCAGTGCCATTGCTTGACTGTCTAGTAATTTTGGAAGAGTTACGTTGTCAAGAAACAAATCAATTTCATTTTTAGATGGGTTTATTTGTGGTGAGTATAAAGTTTCATAGAAATCCCTAAAAATGTTGTTTATTCTTCCAGGGTCATATATTGTGTTCCCTGATAAATCTTTAGCAGCACATATAGTTATTTTTTCTTTATTTATTTTTAGCTGGTTAGCTAGAAATCGACCTGATTTGTTACTGTGTTCAAAATTCTGCAAGCGAAGTCTTTGTATAAGGAATTGTGTTTTTTTATTAATAATTTCATTTAATTCTAGTTTTGTTTTGTGTATTTTGTTCAATGTTTTCTGATCTTGGTCGCACGCATAGGCTTCTTCTAGTGATTTGATGTTTTTTTTCTAATTCCTGAATATTTTTGTTTTCTTCTTTCTTTTTGTGTGATGAGAAAGAAATTATTTTACCTCTCACCACAGTACGGCAATGCCACGATGATCCATTTGGCAAAGTAAATCCATTGGGTATCCTTGTTGGTCTTCAGACAACAATTCTGATGGCTAAAGAACCAAATGGGAAAGGCAAAAAATAAAATAAAATTTTGTTCTAAAGTGATGAGTTTGTTGCTTTTTGGTCCCCCAACGTATAACTGAATGGGGCACTTTTGCCTTTAGGCACTTTCCAGTAGAGCGGCTCATTCTGAATCACTCAAAAACAAGATTTTTGGAGGATTTTTGATTTAGACTAAGCGGTTTGTGAAGGAACCTGTGTGATGCTACACCAAATGAGAATTGTGATTTTAGCCTTGGACTCGACCTGAGCAAACTTTGACAGAAAAGAGCAGGAGAAGCAAAGAAAAAGCAAAGGATGGAGAGACACTTGTGACGAGCGTTGCGGCGACTCAGCAGTTTGGCTGCTGCCTTTGCCTTCACTTTAACGGGTAACTCAGCACGCACAGCAGCTCTTCTTTACTCTCGCTCTGCCTCCTGCTCTGTACTGTTCATCCTGTACCTCCCTCCCTCTCCTTCTCCTCTCCAGCTAATCTACAGTCTGGCTGAAACTTCTCCATGAATAATTGAGATGAATGACAGCACCATCTCATTACGAATTCACATAACACGCCATAGCCGGAGAGAGAAAGAGAGAAAAAAACGTAATAAAAAGATGAAGCACTGAGAGGACTGGGGCTGGTAGTGCTGTGTGTGTGTGTGTGTGTGTGTGTGTGTGTGTGTGTGTGTGTGTGTGTGTGTGTGTGTGTGTGTGTGTGTATGTGTGTGTGTGAGATTGGTGATGACACCAAAACTCAATCATTTAGATCCAGCTGCCTATTTGATTGGCTGCATCACCGCACTGAAGACATCTTGGATTTTTATTAGAAAAGGTTCCAGCTGCGAATCACGAGTCGACTCTCGGTGACACCAATTAGTCCTTTATAAATGCTGTATACATATGTGAGTGTGTGCTCAGTGTGACTGCAATCGGATGAATCACCCAGTTTGCTGATAATAACTCTTAAATACCAACACATCATTTTGCCCTGTTTGCTCGCACACTGTGTCTGCGTGTGCTTGTATGACTCAGCTCATTCTTTAAGTCTTTTTTCCCCCCAATTACCACCCTGCTACCAACTCGTTCACGCTGTGCGTTTTTGCCTCACCTCCAGCTCCTGCTCTCTCTGCAGGGCAAACTGTTTGAACGACTTGACGATGATTCCCGCGTTGGAGCAGTCGTACACAAAAATGGACGGGCTCCCCATCCACGTCTGCAGGTCGTAGATGGACAGCGGGATGTACTGGGTGTAGTTCTGAGAAAGAGAAGGCAGGAGGGGATAACGTCAGAGTGAGGAATTGGAGAGATAGGTGCATCATGTTATTGCTGATAACTCACTTTTATAGATTTGTGTTTAATTATTAAGCAGTCATCTGTTTGATGAAGAGTGCGAGCAGACGAGCGAGAAAAAGAGAAAACCGGAGTGAGGCAGAGGAAAAATGGGGACGATGGGAACACAGACCGAGGAATATAAATCTAATACCCATGGTGCAATAAAGGTGCTCTCCCCTACACTTATTGGAAAATTTGGTTCTTCGCACCTTCTGTGATGCCCGTGTCCACATCAAATCCCCCACTGATGTCCTGTTACAGCAGCCAGCGACACTGCAGCTTCATTTTATAGGATAAGGAATACCGAATAAAATGCGAAAGAAAAGAGGGAGAGGACATTAGGCCCGAGGGTACACTGAGGACGTGGAGCCAAACGCTAGCGCTCGACAGCAGCGGTGCATCATTGTAAGTGGGTGCTTACTTACAGGACAAGATGATGAACAACTCCAGATTTTATATCTGATTCCCCAAAGTCAGCGAGTCTGTCCGCATCAGTGCGATGCTGAGATCACAGCAACCAGGTGAGATTTGATTTAATGTCTGGTTGTCAAGTTATTTTCTGACTGCAAGAATGTTCCAAGAAACTGAAAACATCTTTTTTTTTAACCTGCATTTTAGCCACAGGAGCCTCGGTCCACTTTAAGCTTCTAGGTGAACACTTCAGGAGTTACTACTCCAAAGTGCTTCAGTTACACAGGCTGACTGCCAGCAGTACCATACTGACTGATCCAAAACAAGTATATTAGCTACTAAGATGCATGCCGTATCTACTTATACCTTTAGATACAAATTCACAGTTTCTGTCTTTGTGCAGAAACTTTTAATTGCACTACAATGACCTGTGAGATATTTGGACTCCTTCATTTACGACAAATGACTGGACTACATCAAAGTACATTTTTCCTGTACCTGTGGTGCGTGACAGAGAGCCACTTTGCACTGGAAAAACAAACACAATCGTCACTCATCATCTGGACCAACTGCCAGATGTTGCTCTGTGCGCCTTTGTCTAATTCCTGAAAATAAACATCGGTGTTTCTAAATGAACGATCTCCAGCACCTATTGCCAAAGCACAAGCATGAAATGACATAACGGGATGTTTAAAGACTGATATAGAAATGCTGAGGACACTTCACGGGTACATAAGAGGATGATCTTGAATGGGAGATCACCCAAAATTAAATCATGTGTAGCCTTTTGATTTTCACAGGCACGTTCCTGAAACTTTCCAATCGCACCTCATACATCTTATTAGGTCCAAAAATGAACTGCCTATAGTTTAAGATGCAAATGGCCTGTCTGGTTATTTGTGAATAAAGTAATGCAGGGATTATGAGCTCTGCTGGAGACTAAACAGCATTACTCCAATGAAAGCATGTGAAAACATGTTTATTTTACTTTGCTTTGGTTTAGTGCACGTGTAAGCACAGCCTGTGACATTTTAGCGACAAATAATCAAGTCGTCCTTGGAAATGACAGCAGTAAACAGCTAACACCATCATGGCTTGTGAACGTGACAGTGTAGGTCTGATTAGAAAGATCTGTGAAGGCCCGATATCGTCTGTGCATGTGTGGTACCTTATTAAAAACCCAGATCTCTCCATTGACAGTAGGTCGTGGCACGCCGTGGCCGTTGTAGTGGAAGAGGACTCGTTCTTCCTTGGCATTGCGTCTGAGTGACGTGCACAGTTTCTTCACTTCATCCACCGTGGGGTCCAGACTCTGCTTGTAACGGGCCTGAAAGAGGAGGGAAGAAAAGATGTCACAATGATTGATGCTTTAGTCACACTGGGAACAAGGACACTGCTGCTCTGCGTTTTGTTTCGGGCAGGGAGATGTGCTGCATTTAATTTTTTCTTTCCTTTGCAGTTCAGTAGTCCTGCGTCAGTCTAACTTTCTTTGTTTTCTTTTTCTTTGATTCAGCAGCACTCACAGGCCCTTGGTTTTGAACAAATAAACAACCACATTTTGGTTATTCGCTGTTTTGCTTAGCTGGGAAGTAAAAAAAATCAGCTTTTGGTGTATGAAGCACTTATTGGTCTGTTCTGAATGAATATATATATGACTGCATCAATTTTTACAGTGTGTCCCAGCACAGGACACTTCTTTAAATTCTCTCCATATTAGGCGACGGAGCAGACTAAAAGGTATGGCAGCTGATGTGCAGGGTGGACTTGAGAATAATCTTGCAGAACATTTTCAGTCTAGCTTTAAACTGTGCAGGAATGTGGGGGGATAATGTGCACCTGTAATGTCCAAAACAAGTTGTATTGATGCATCTTTCTGTGAAGCACTTCGAGTTGCATCGTTGTGGGACTGTAGTCTATAAATAACCTTTTGAGATCTGTTGACTGATGTTTCAGGAAGGATGAAGTTCACCACTCTGCTTTATTCCATCAGTGAGAGTGGCTAAGATTGGAAATTATTTTCTATGTGAAACATAAACCAAGAAAACAAAACAAACAAGAAGCACTCAGAGAGCACAAACCTTCGCCAAGGCAGCGTCATCTCTGTGCAGTATTTGCTTTTAAGGCAACAGAAGTTTATTTTCTTTGTTTTTTTAAACATACTTTAAGTACTTATGTTTGTAGTGCAGTAAAAACAAGTGCAAAGTGCAGGCTTTTCCTATTTGCCCTGTCGAACCCCATTTTAATATACAATTACTTCATTTTAAGTTTTTATTTTTATTATTTTCCCTTAAAGTGGATGTAGCTCATGTGTGGCAGTTATTTATTTAAACAGTTATAACCTGTTACGGTAATGTACATAACAAAGCTATAAGAAAATGAATCAACTACACTCCTGTAACCCACTGTCATTTGAATAGCTACATGTAGCATTATTTTCACTTTGACCTTTGGCTCTACTTACCTTAAAGGAGAGCAATATATTAGCCAATAAATCATTATGATGACCTTGAAGGGATTGAGACAAATTTCTATTGTTTATTAACATGACCTCACTTTACACCCCTACAAAGTTCTATCGAAGTTTTATTCATTCAAAACTTTTCAAGCTTTTAAAAACAGAATGACAGACACACACATGCAAGCACCACCAAAACCTTAACCTCCTTGTTGGAAGTTAATTTGGATTCCTAATAATAATAATAATAATAATAATAATAATAATAATGATACAGTAGACTGAAGGTTTACAGAAGGACTGACGAATCCACTTATCCAAAAATACAGGCAGCTACCAGTGCAACCCCTGAGTAAATGTTATCAAATTGAACATAACATATGACATCTTTCGTGTTATCGTTTTCACAAGCATATCACCGATTTTGGGACTGATCCGAGATTTTTAGTAGATGCACCTACTGCATGGTATGGCTTTAGTGCACAAGTGCATTGAATCAAGAAAATTAAATGAAATTCAGTTTTTATTTATATAGCACCAACTCTCAAAATCAGTCCCCTCAAGGCTTACATACTTAAACAGAAGCTTACTTGTGTTCATTTTAATTAGAGATATTTTTATGATCAACAACTAGTAAACAGGACGAGAACCAAACTGTTCAAGGACAATGTGTCTTACACTGCAGTCAGGTTTAGACTTTTAGTAATAATTATCGAAGATGAACTGAACTCCATGTAACTAAGAAGTAAAGACGCCATGTTTCATGTTCAAGCGCTCTGAAAGGGAGAGGAACACTGGAGAAATGTAAAAGAAACTCTGCAGAGCTCACAAGGGCACAAGCTATTAAGATCAACTTCCTTTTTCAACAAAGTAGGTGACCTTGAGTCCACACTTCAAAGTCCACATTCTCCACAGCAACTTCATACTCATTTAAAAGTGCAGGAAGTCTTCCTTTTATTTCATAAATCTGCAGTTTGAGTGTTTCTCTATGTATATTGTGCAGTCTTTCCGCTCTCCTCTCAGACACAGAAACGTGTTATAAAAAGGAAAAAAGAAAACTGGAAAATCACACATGATAGTATTTATCATTTTAACTGAAAACAAATCAGTGAACAGTGGACGAGTGAAGAAAAAAGGATGGATATTATTCTGCAATCATCTGATTTCAGAAAATCATTTGGTCCTCAGCAAGATTATTTAAATACAACCTCAGATGACTTATTATGGGATGCCATTATTTAATGAAAACTAAGCCAAATTGCAAAAGCAAGCAACTAAGAACTCCAATGGTTCAGCAGCTTTTAGAGCCACCTTTAACAGCAATAACTTGAAATAACTGTTTTCTGTAATGACTATCAGTCCCTCGCATTCCTGCAGATGAAACTTTTACCCACTCTACTTCATAGCTTTGCTTCAGTTCATTGGTTTTTGGATATTCATTTATGCTAAGCTCTCTTAACATCCTGCCACAGCAATTTAATCAAGTTGAAGTCTGGACTTTGACTCTGATTCTTTTCTTTTTCAGTCATTTTGTTAAAGATTTAATGCACTGCTTGTGATCTGTGCTATGCTGTGGCATGAACTAATTTCATCCAAGCTGTAGCTGTCAGTGAGATTACATTTCACTCTAGAATATATTGGTATACAGAGGAATTCATGGTTGACTCAATTTTAGCAAAATGCTCAAGTCCTCTGGTTGCAGAGCCAGTCCAAATCACCACCTCTTCACCACCAAACATGACTGTTGGTATGAGGTGTTTGTGTCGATATAACTGTTCCTGAGGTCCCGTGGTTCGTTCAGATGCAACTTTGCAAACCTAAGCCATGTTACGAATGTTCTTTTTAGAGAGAAGATGCTTTGTCCTGGGAAACCTTCCAATATTAATGGCAGACTGGTGGCTATCAGGTGCCAAAGCTGTTGATGGAGAACTAACATCAACAAGTGAATTGCCAGAAAAGCAAAATGAATCCACGAAAACTGATGAGACTATTTTAGGTAACAGTGAGCCCAGCGGGGAGAGACTCTAATAACTACACGTGTTAGTAGATTTTCACGTGCTGTTTTGAAGAGGACACAAGCTGAACCTGAATGTTTTCTTCCATTTAAGAAAGACCACGTTCACATTTGAAAATACCAGACCAAAAATAAGGATCTGAATCAGCTGACAAGTGACTAACCAGCTGGCAGACCAAAGACAAGCATCCAAAAACCGTCCTGACTCAGACAAAGGCGTTTTTGTTTTGCAAGAAGCCAAACGCCTAAGAGAAGTTTTCACATTTCATATTATCGAACAATAATAATTTCAGCTAAACAAAAAAAAGTATGCACGAAGTGCAACGCTTATAGAAGTCTTGTGAAAAATGGTCTTAACACAGTGAATCACAGAAGGTACAAAAGCAAGTGCAATTTGTGAGCAAACAAGGAGGCTTTTACACTTCTGAGTGTGAACTTCAAACAAGCTGCTGATAGCAGTAAGTGTATGAAACATGACATATATAGTACCAAATAGGGCTGGGCCATATTATACCGTTCACGGTAATACCGGTATAATGTTAGGCAACGATAGGAAAATGAAATATCGCGATAGAATATGAGTAAAACGCGCATGCGCAGTGCCTTTGTTTTCATACGCACATGGCCGATTGTTGAGTGAAACAGATGAACCAGAATTGGGTTGTAAAAATGGTGCAACTTCCGTGATGTGGAACTGGTTTGGTGTTTGTCCGTCAGATACACAACAAAGCACATTTTTTTGCAGAACATGCAAGCGGCCGTTGTTATTGTCATATTTGTCGGACTAAGATGCTCTTAAATCTGGGAGTAATCTGGGTCCTAAACCCCGTATGCTTCAGGTCAAACAACACTGCAGCATCACTTAGAGTTAAAAACTGTCTAAATTCTTTCATCTTTAATAAAATGATCAGCATTGCTGCTTTACCAGGTGTAACTATAAAGTTTAACTTCCAGGCATCCATGAAAACAAAAGTTATTACATTTAACGGAGTTAGAAGTTAGCAGGAAGCTAGCGGAAGTTAGCTCGCTAGTTTCGCTAGTTACCTAAGCATGATATTGCAAGTTCTGACTGAGAGATTTCTGAAAAAAAAATCAAACGTACAGCTCTGCTATCACTTCCAACATAAATGAAGACAGGAAACTAAACAGCAGTGACGTTTGTAGGGTTACTGAAGTTGGGCTAGCTGGTATATAATGATGTGCTACGTGATCGCTAGCGACACAGCTATGTTAGCATAACATAAACAGTGAAGCTGGAGGACGAACACTAACACTTTTCCACTTATAAAAGTTAACGTGAAGGTTCTTCATGGTTAGAGACAAATGCAATCGCATGGCAGGATGCTGTAAACGGACCAAACTTCAGTCAGGAGAACAACTGAGTTAAGCCATCCACAATACGAGGTTAGTCATTAATATACTGCAGCAACATGGGAATAGAGCAGCTGCCAGAGAATTCAACATTAATGAATCAATGGTACAGAAGTGGAGGAAGCAAGAAGAATGAGTTTAATAAAGTTTGATTTATCGGACTGCTTTGTTTCGCTTAATGTGCCTTATAATCCTGTGCACCTTATGGTCCGAAAAATACGTACTGCACACTGCAGTTTAATGTTGCAAAGCACCTCTTTTTAACTTCAGTGGATATTATACATGGTTATGCTCAGGATATGTCAGCCCATTTCTACTGGAAATGCCTTTTGGTTAAACTTTCAGCAAGGAATTTGCATTTGCACTGTTACATTTTTATAAAGCTTTAATGTACATAAAAACCAGCTTCTTGTTTAAGTGAAAATAAATGGAAGGTTGTCTTTTTGCGCTAGTAATGTTGTGGAGTTGTATTTTGTCTCGCATCAAT